GACGGGCTCCTCTCGCACGGCGTAGCTGGAATACGTTTCGAAAGCGCTAACCAGCCTGTCCAAAGGCATCTGGCGCGGTGCGGGTTCAGCCGGCCGTGACTCAGCAGCTCGACTGTTGCCGCCACCACCCGCCAGAGGCTCTGCACAGAAGGAGCCCTCGTGGACTTCAGCCGGCCGTGACGCAGCAGCTCGACCGTCGTCCATCTTAGGGCCATTTCCGGTGCTCCGACGAGGGTCAGAATACGCCGATAATCCGCCGCCATGGCTTGGATTCGCCCTCGATCGATTGTCCCAGCCACGGTCCGTTCTAGGGCCGTTGTCCCGGCCAGGCGCCGCACCGGGTAGTCCACCAGGTTCGTCTCCTCCTCTTCCCCCTCCCCTTCCCCATGATGATGGTGACGAAGATGGTAATGGTGTAGGGGTTGGTGTAGTGCTTGTAGCGACGAGGATGAACAAGTTGCCAGACCTGTGAAGGAAGAAAGGGGTCCCCGCCGGGTCCGTCAAGACGGCGCCGGCTCGAACCTGGCGGTATTGCCATTCGTCGTCCGTCAGCAAGACGATTGCCAGAAGGGAAGATGTCGCTGTTTTGCACATCAGGACGCCCTGAAGGAGAACGCCTCCGCACACAACGTCGCACTGGTGCGTGACGACGGTCTCGCCGTTGGCGGTTTCAAGGATGAGGGGCGCGTCGAGAGGGCGAATGTTCCTGGCATGCCAGAAATCCTTGCCTGCCAGCACGTGTCTCTCGGCGCCCGAATCCGCCGCCATCGCCAGGGGCGAATCCGCAGTGACGCTGTTGACCCCGAGGGTGAGGGTGGGAGTGGAGATTCGGAGCATGTTCCCAGACACGCGCTCCAGAATATCCTTTACTGTTTTGTAGTTGGTTTTCTGCTCGTTCATCAGTTGCTGCGCCATGGATGCCAATGCCTCCACTGTTACTGTCGACTGTTGTTGCGGTGGCGCCGATCCACCGCCCGACGAAGACCCAGCCGAGTCCCCGTATCCCAACGTGCCGGCTCCGATCCGGCTACGCTTTCTGCTTTCGTCGAGCCCAGGAGGCACCGACGGTGGCATGTTGTTGCCCCATCCGTTTCCTGCGCTTTCCCAGTTGTTGTTGAAAAAGGCGTCCCCTTTCCCCTTGCTCTGCCTAGGCCCCACCCCAGGCATTCCCTTTGTTGCGTTGCCCCTGGGCCCCACCCCGGGAGCTCCCTTGCCAGCGCTGTTCACGTAGGGGCACTCGTTACCCCAGTGGCCAGGCTCGCCGCAGAGGCGGCACGTGTCCCGAGGAAGGGGCGCGAACCGCTCGTTGTTGGGTGTGGAAGGCTTGATGCGAACGAACTTGCAGCATGTGCCAAAACGGCAGTGGCCACTCAGGTAGAAGGAGCATGGAATCCATGTTTGCGTGTCCTTGCCTTTGTCTTTCTCTTTGTCTTTGCCTTTGTCTTTTCCTTTGTCTTTGCGTCTCTCTCTGCCTCCGAGCCGCTCTTGTCCTGTTTGAACGGCTCCGACAAGGACGCTGCTTGGCGGAGCAGGCGGGGCAGGCACAGCGCCGGCCCAGTGCCCAGCCTTGGCCTCTGCCATTTTGAGGATGGCGTCCGGGTTGTCCGGGGAGCTCATCTCCACGATCTCAAGCGGGACCTTTAGGATGTCTAGCTTGCTTAACAGCAGACGCAACGACCGCAATACCGTGTGTTTGGACGGCCCAGAGTCGGCGGCACGAAGCTCGGACAACTCCGACTGCCACAGCTTTAGTGCGTGTTGCAGCTTGCTGTGGTCCTCCACAGGCACAGGTGAAGCAAACTTGTCGTGCAAAGCTGCAGTGTGTGCTGTGGCCGAAGCCATGATAGCATCGTTCAAAGCAGCCAACATGGACACCCCATCTGTGCGGTCGACACCCGTCCAGTAGAGGCTCGTGTCGTAGCTTGCGGTCGCACACAGTTCAAAAGCGAGGTTCTTGTTGGCCTTGGTGAACCGGGGTTCCCACGACGTATCCACGGTAGCGCCGCCCAGAATCGCGAGGACCGCCTCGGCGAAACCTAGTGCTTGCAGGCCACACCATCCAGCCAGCTCGGTCTGGGTCCAAGCGCGCCAAGAAGACACGCTTGGCAACGCATGGCCCTTTGTGCCTGCTGGCAAAGCTGGCAGCGGATGCTTGCCGCCGCCGCCTGAAACTCTCATGTCAGAGAGCTCCCGCGTGACCTCTGCGAGGCTCTCCCCCATCCTGCACATGAGGAGGGTGCTGGCGTCCAGGGCGCTCGGGCTCTGCAGTGCGTGTGGTGTGTTGTCAGCGTGTCCTGGAACTCTCTCTGTGTGCGGTGGAGTTCCTGTGTAGAAATCCTGGGAAACTCCCGACGCCGCTCTTCCAGCTGGCCGTGACGCAGCAGCACGACTGTCCGAGACAACGCCGGGGTTTTCGGCCCTGTGTGCCGTCGTTTGCGGCGCAGGGGGTGAAAAGGATAATGTAGACGATCGCGTCAGTACTCTCGAATTCAACCGATCAGCAGCGGGAGGATCATCAAGATCAGGATCGAAATCGGGATCAGGCACTGGCACATCCCGGAAATCGATCGCCATCGCTCGCGCGGGGGCTCATAACCTGCGGGAGCGCGCGGGCCTTTTGCGGGCCTTGAGCCACACCGCAGCGTGGCAGCAACCCTCCCTCCCGCACACCGAAGGCCCCAGTGGCAAAGTTCGCATGCGTCTCCCCCACCCACTACAACGTTTCGTAGCCCACAGGGAGTTCCACCGAAGCCGATGCCCACAACGGCGGTACTCACAACTGCATATGATTGGGTCCGTCGCCAGGCTCATATTCTTTCTCTTTGGCGAGGCGTGCAAGCCCTTCTGGTTCACATGCACTTGCGCCCTTGCGCTCAGCGCATGAACTCCAGCCTTTGGTCGATCGCTGCTGGTGGCCCCGTAGTGGCCGCTGTACAGGAAAATCGAGGGCATCGCTGTTGGCTATCGGGCTTTGCCCTCTGCGCCACGGCCTCCCACTGACACGGCGGGGTGAGAATACTACTGGGATCAGGTGGTAGAAGCAAGGATGCGGTAGAGGAGAACGAAGGTAGGCAGAGAGAATTAGCGCGGAACGTACAAGAGGGCGGGCTGGACAGCTGGCAGCAAACACTTTGGCCGCGAGCGCCACAGGAACACGCCCCCTTCGTGCCTACGCGTCCTAGCTACGGCCACACGGCGCCAAGTATAACATCGCGGCAAACGTGGCTCGCTCGCGAACGTTACAAAATGGCCGCATTCATACTGTGGCATGCAAGAAAAATCGGCACTGCAGATAGATTCACAGTGTGGCACACTGTATTGCGGCATTTCATCTAGTGGCACAGTGCGGTGTGTCAATCCCACCTGCGCTCTGGGCGACGGCGGTTTAGGGAGCTTCCCTTTTCACCCCCCGTTTTCCCCTTCGGGGAGGGCCTTCCCCTTTCCCCCATACCCCCTTCCCTGGACCTCGACGGGGGGTTCCGCGGGTAGTTGGAGCGTTCAGGATGGCCCAAGACGGCTCCAGGAGGGCATCGGAGCGCCCAGATGACCTCCAAGATGGCTCAAGATAACCCAAGATGCCTCAGGATGGCACCCAAGATGCCCCAAAGAAGCTTCAACAACGCTCCAAGACGGCTCCAAGTGGCCAAAGAGCTCCCCAAGGAAGCCCCGAAGAGGTCACCATCCGTCCAACTCCTGTAGACGAAGCAATGTGGTTTGCTGCCTCGCCTTGTCGCACCCGATGGCAATGAGGCCTCAAGATGGCTCCAAGACGGCTCAAGAGGGCCCCAAGAGAGGCTCACGAGAGCCCCAAGACGGCTCCAAGAGCGTCCCCAAGAGGCGATGCTTGGGGCTCCCGATGGGGGAGGCTAATTGAAGCGTCCATATGTGGTGACCGATGTCCTCCAAGATGGCCCCCGAGCGCCCCTGGAGCTCCCAAGAGCGCTCTAAGGGGCGCCCGCACGGCTCGAAGAGGCTTCTTGGGGGTCTCTGAGAAGAGGCTCTCAAGAGACCACCGACAAGCCTGAAGAGGATCCCCGAGGCACCCAAGACGCTCTAGGATGGCCCTCAACTCGCCAAGAAGCCCCCAAGACGCTCCAAGTGGCCTCAAGCAGACACATCCGACGAGACTCCGAGAGGCATGTAAGAAGCTTCGGGCTCTTCTGTTCGCCGTCCTGTTCCTCCTCCTCACCCCCCGATTCCTCCTCCTCTCTCCTCCCTCCTCACCCTCCCCCTCCTCCTCCTCCTCCTCCTTCTCCTCCTTCTCGTCGTCCTCGTCCTCGCCCTACTCCATTTCCGCCTCCTCCTCATCCAACGACGATGTTTCCTCCTCCATCCTCCTTCTCTTGGGGTATATAACGGCTTCCCCCGCCCTTTGTTATTCTGCATGCTCCCCCGCTCCCCTGATCACCTCAACTCCCCTGGGCGTCGTTTCTGCATGGGCTGGTGGGGACTCGCGAGCGTCAACAATTCATATTGTGGCGCGCTGCGTATGGTGTTGGGCTTATGCATTGGGCCCTCGGCCCAAGCTGCTCGATCGGCGCGCAGAAGCGGCAGACAAAATGTCTGGAGCAGAATGACTAGGGGGAGGGGGCAAATATGTCGTACAGAGCTCACGCCACCGTGCCGACCACCTTCCTCACCTTTCCCATGACCCTCTTCATCCAATCGAACTCTCTGAACTTGTTCCTCCACGGCACCGAGCCCCACTGCCTGTTGATGACGTGGTCCTGAATCAAGTGCTCCTGGAAGAGATTGTGTCCGTTGGTCCATTCCGAGTGGCCGTCTGCCGTGCTTAAACCTCCGAAACCGTACAGGTTGAGCTCGTCACACACAGGCAGGAACGTGAAAAACGCCTGGAGGCCCGTGGTGGCCAACGCTCCATGCAGAGTGTGGAATCCCGTGGCAACCATCCTCGATATGTTCGTGTGCGTGCAGCCCACCAGGGGATGGTCGGGGCCCCAATTGGAAGCCATCTCGCTGGGCTTGCACCTAACCAGGTCCCCGCGGGCAATGATCCCGGCCTTGGGACAACCGACGGCGTCGGCGCACTTGATCACCTTGGCGTTTTCACCACCCATCAAAGAGACGGCCCCCTGCCACTCGTGGCTGACATACAAGAAGTCAGTCTTTGCGCCGAAGTCGGCGTAGTACTCGCCCCTGGGCAGGCGGTTGATCCTGATGACGGCAGTGTGCCCATCGATCTCCGCGCCCTTGTGCGAGCCCTTCATCACCCCGGACGCCCCGACCAGCGCACACCTCTCGGGTTGACCCAAAAGGGGGTCCGGCGACCAGGGGGTGGTGCAATAGATTTGGTGCAATATATTTGTGGGGTTGCAGGACATCTGGGGCGTGCAATACATCTCGGGGCGCAAATGTATTGCTGTGGTTTCGCGTCCCATACGTTGCTTGCAATACAATTCAATACAACTCTCCGGCGAAATACATCTGCAATACAACTGCCCACCCCTCTCAGCTGGACCCCTTCTTAGGCCACCCCGAACCTCGACAGGTCGAGCTTGTCGAAACCTTCCCCCTTCACCATGTCGAGCACGCCGTGCAGCCTGTCCCGCCCGAGCGCTGCGGCGGGCTCCTCGACGCCGGGGGCGAGGTTACGGCCCTGGTCCATCCTCCAGGTGTCGAACGCCCCGTTCTTGGAGCACGACCCGGGCACCACCAGATGTGATGGGCCAGTTTTTCACCACCACCACCACAAGCACCACAAGTTGGAGCGCGGGGACGAGGTGGAGGATGAAGAGAAAGACGAGGGTGAGGACCCCCTCACCCCTCCAACTTGTGGTGGCGGTGGTGGAGAACAGGCCCACCAAGATGGCGCAGCTGGCAGGGGGTGTACGCCGCGCGGTCCTGGTGAGCCACGACGATGGCCTCGCACAGCGGGTCCTGCTCGCAGCGCAGCATGCACTCGTTCACGGTGATCTTTCGCCCCGCGTAGGTCTGAAAGTGAGTGCCGGTGATCTCTGGGAAGTCCCAGCTGCCAGCGCCGGGGTAACAGTTGAGGCCCGCATAGCGCTTCCAGCCGGAGAGCTCCTGGATCTGCGCGATGCGGTCCGGGATGGGGCCCCGCCTGTAGGAGTCGTAGGAGGGGCCGCCCTGGCACTCGTCGAGCACCAGCTCTGGGAGCAGCCAGCACGGCCCACTCGTGTTCTTGCCTGCTTCCACCGTGATTCCGTGGCAGTAATCGTTCTCCATGCACGCTGTCAGACACGCGTCCAGGGTGCAGTTGCTCCCGTGGTCCTTGCTCGTGCTGCCGTCGGGGAAGTGTCCGCTACCGAAGCCGACGCGCCAGCAGTTCTTCCCCTTGACCAGCGACCAGTCCTGCGTCAAGATCTCGGCGACTCTGTCGTTGATAGACCCGGATGTCTGAGAGAGCGCGTTTCACGGGCGCTTGCCCTGGAACATTTGGCGGCGCGTTTCGAACTGGGGGGTGGGCCCCCCAACCCCAACACTCGGCGCCGTCGATCAGAACCAGGGGGACTCCCCTCCTCCGTACCCCCCCCCTCCCGAACCCCCCCCGCAAGGAGGGGTGGGTCCAAACCCCCCCTCCCTCCCTCCCCCTCCTGGCGCCAGCGCCAGCGCCGGCGCTGGCGGCCGCCAACAGCGCCGACGGCGGCGACGCAGCGAAGATGATCAGAGAGGGCCCAGGGGGAGGGGGGGGGCTCCATCCCCCCCCCCGCGCCGGCGCCGGCGCTGGCGGCGGCCGCACAGCTCCGACGGCGGGGACGCAGGACGATGACCAGAGAGGGCCCAGAGGACGCAGCCGCAGCGGGAAGCACAAATCGCCAATTATTATCGAGCCCTCGCCCCAAGAAGCCACCGAGAAAACCCTTAGGAAGGTAACGAGGCTCAACATGCCCTCAGACGCCCCCGAGACCTTCTAACGAGACCTCAACAGGCATCCATCAGAACCTCTAACCCAAAGCCAAAACACGGGGGCGGGAAGACGCACGGGGGCGGGAAGAGCCGAGGGCCACACCACCACCACCACCACAAACCACCACAAACCACCACACCACCACCACCACCACCACCACCACCACAACCACCACAACCACCACAACCCACCACCACCACAACCACCACCATCACCACAAACCACAACCTCCACCAGCACCACCACAACCCACCATAACCAACCACAACCACCAGCACCGCCACCACAAACCACCACACCACCACCACCACCACAACCATCACCATAACTCACCACCACGACCACCACACCACCACACCAACCACCACCACAACCACAACCACTACCACCACCACCGCCCACCACCCGCAACCCACCACCCCCACCAGCACCGCTACCAGCAGCACCACCACCACCAACACCACAGCCCACCACCACCACAGCCACAAACCACCACCTCACCACCACAATCACCGCCACCACCACTACCCTCACCACCACCACCTCAACCCACCACCACCCACCACCAAACCGCCACACAACTACCACCACCACCACCACCACAACAACTCACCACCAACACCACAACCACCACAACAACCCAGCACCACCACAAACCACCACCACCATTACCATCTACCGCAGCACCACCACCACCGCCACAACCACCAACACTACCAGCAGCACAACCCACCACCACCACCACCAACCACCACACCACCACCACCACCGCCACCACCACCACCACCAGCGGCACCACCTCCACAAACCACCGCCACCACCACCAACGCAACCACCACAAACCACCACACCACAACCACCAGCACCAACGCCACCACCACCACAATCCACCACCACCACATACAACGACCACACCACCACCACACCACCACCACCACCACCACCCACCACCACAACCACCATCACCACCACAGCAAGCCACCACACCTCCACCACCACAACCACCACCACCGCCACCACCACAACCCACCTCCACAACCACCACAACCCATCACACCACCACCCCCATAACTACCACCACCACCCACCACCACAACCCACCTCCACAACCACCACAACCCATCACACCACCACCCCCATAACTACCACCACCACCCACCACCACAACCACCACCACAACAAACCACCACCGCCGCCACCACAACCACCACCACCGCCACCACACCCATCACAACCCACCACCACCACCACAACCAGCACCACCACACCACAACCAGCACGACAAACGACCACACCACCACACCACGACCGCCACCACCACCACCAACACCTTAACCCACCACCACCACCACAACTACCACCACCACCACCAGAAGCCACCGCACCACCACCACCACCACCGCCACCACCACAACCTGCCATCAGAACCACCACAATTACCACCACCACCATCAACCACCACACCATCACCACAACCACCACCGCCACAACCACCACCACCACCACCACTACAGCCCACCACCACCACAACCTTCGGGAGGCCCCAACAGACGCCCAAGAGGCGCCCAGGAGGCTTCACTAATGCCCTTCAGAGGCCCCCGAGAGCCCTCCGACGAGACCCCAAGAGGCATCCATTAGAGGACTCTGACCCAAAACCTAGGCACGGTGGCCGAGCGCCGTCGTCGTCGTCATCGTCGTCGCCGCCGTCCTCGTCGACGCTCCCCGCCGCCGCCGCCCACCGCCGCAGGCGCCGGCGCCGGCCCAGAAAAGTCGTCGTCCCCGCCGCCGCCGCCAGCCGCCGCCGAGGCAAGCGCGGTCCCGGGGAGAGGGAGAGAGGAAAAGTTAGGGGGGGAGGGGGATGGAGGTGGGGGGGGGTCCGGTTCCAACACCCCCCACCTCCAAGCGACCACAGAACGCGCTCTTTCGGATGCGCCCATCCCGGCGAACTGCTCAGGCACATCAGGGTGCAGGGTGAGATTGCGATGGCTCAGCACCAGCACTTGCCATCGCTCGGACGTCCATTTCCCGTGCATTTTTCGGTTTCGTGCGTGGTTTTTGTTGCTCGATGGTCCAGGATGGTCCTCGATGGTTCTCGCCGAGAAAAAATACACACGTCCGAGCGATGCCAGGAGCATGTCTGCATCCTCTTCTCCTGTGAGGCCCCGCGGTCGGGCCCGCACGCTCAGGCCCCTGCCTGCTGCGCACCACAGCGCCATCCCCGCCTGGAGGCCTCCCGGAGGGGGTCTGCACACGGCAGGTTCGCGCGTCGGCACGCGCAGAGGTTTCTGACGTCGCGCCGATCGTTCCACCTTGAATCGATCGCGGCCCCGATCGTTCGAGGTTGAGTTCCGTTGGGTCCAGTGGCGTCACCGATTCCCTCGCGGTGCATCCGCGTGAGACTTCAACCTTGAACGTCTTCGCCGGCGCGCCAAAGCCGCATGAACCCACCGTGGATGGGGTCGGAGGACCGCGCAGCATCGCCGATACATGGGCGATGCACTGGCGACGCAGCGGCGATGCACTAGCGATGAGTCGGCGACGAATCGGCGTGGAGAAGAACGGCCTCCGCATCGAGCCGCATCGGCGATGCATCGGCGATGCGGCGTGATCCTCCGACCCCACCTGCTCCGACCCATCTAGGAGGCCTAGACCTTGAGCAGGGACCGACCGTCCCAGCATTCTTATAGTCCTACCACGAAATGCTTTTAGAAACCAAAAGTGTTCCAAGAACAAGAGCAATGTTCTGAGAACCTTGACGCGATTGTTTTAAAGCAAGACGCCTCAACCAGAAATGGTCTAAGAGCATCCCGTGCAAGCCGCAAAAGGTTCTCGGAACATGCTTGGGTAGGCCCATAGGCGAGCCGAGACGCTTCGCCACTGCTCGACAGGCCACCGCAGTGCAGCACACGGCGACGACGCACGCCCGCCGCGGCAGCCTCCCTCGGTCGGCGGCCGGCGCCTCGGCGGGGGCCTCGGTGCCGCTGGCCCCCGGGGCCCCGGCGTCCGCGGCCGCCCGGGGCCCCGCGACCGCGGCGTAGTCGGCCATGGCTCTGCGGCGAGGGGCAACGACAGGGGGGGAGAGGCACAGGGGGGGGAAACATCGACCTCGAATGGGCGACACGGCGCCGATAGATCGGCGACGGGCCCCCCGGTAGTGAACCCGCACGTTCCTGGGCAGGTTGGGGCTGTCGGGCCCCTATCGGCGATCAATCAGCGATGGGGGGTCGATGCATCCCCCCTACAGGGCAATTTCTAATACATAGGATTTAAAAAAAGCATAGAACTTTTAATATTTGACTAATTTATGAATAAGGTTGTGCACGAACTCATGGTTGTGTTTAACACTAAATCCCTGCACTTTTAATACATGATCCGCACGCGGAGCATGCATTAAAAACGGCACTGTATGCCTATCCCCCCCCTATCGCTGCCCCCGATTCGCTTGGCCCAGGCACTGCCGGGGCTCGGCCTCCGAGGCTCTCGGCAGGTCTGGACCCAGAGCGTCGTTTTTGTTCGTCTCGCTGCCGTTGCTGTTGCCCTCCTCCTCCTCCTCCTCCTCCTCCTCCTCCTCCTCCTCCTCCTCCTCCTCTTCGTCCTCCTCCTCCTCCTCCTGCCCTCCTACTTGTGGTGGTGGTGGTGGAAAACAGGTCCTCCTCTTCGTCCTCCTCCTCTCCTCTCCTCCTCCTCCTCCTACTCCTGCCCTTCTTTCTCTCATCCCTATCCATTAGGTCCTCCTCATCCTCCCCCGCACTCCTCATCCTCCTCCATTTTTTTCCTCATCCGCATCCTCCTCCTCCTCCTCCTCCTCCTCCTCCTCCTCCTCCTCCTCCTCCTCGTTGCCTGCCCCACCCGTTTCCCCCCACGCCTCCCTCCCAGAACCACGCGCGGAACACAGCCGCAGTCCAACGAGAGAACAGCGCCCGGGCCCGGCCCCGGGCCTCGCCGGCGCAGGCCGGCGGCCCCTCCGGGGCGCGCTCGGCTCGTGCCGCGCGCGGGCGGCGCGAGCCGCACCGAGCGCGGAACCCGCTGCCAGTTTTTGCTCCTCTCACCTCCTCCTCCTCCTCCTCCGCCTCCTGCTCCTCCTTCTCCTCCTCGTCCTCCTCCTCCTCCTCTTCTTCCTCCTCCTCCTCCCTCCTCCTCCTCCTTCTTCTCCTCCTCTTCCTCCTCCCCCGAGCACGGAACCCACGAGCACGGAACCCTACAACTGAGAACCAATACCGACGGGACGTTAATTCGGGGATGGACAGAGACCCCCTTTGGCAAAACGTGGTGTAGAGAAAGAAGCCTCGGGCCCGAACCTGGCGGGCGCGAGCCTGGAAAATGACGGCCGCGGCGCCCTCTCGAGATCCGAAAACGGACAATCCACTAGTCGACATGTCAGGGTGGGGACTCTGTCCACCCCCGAATATTATGCCAGGCACATTCTTAGAACACCTAGCCGCGACGCATCACACGAAGAGATGTGGTTCCAAAAGGCTGATGGAACGTGCCACAGGAGAACACGAGAGAGCAGTGGCGATCCATGAAACAGGTTGCCAAATCACTCTGCGCTGCATGAGAACCCCCGAGGCTCGTCATCGGTAAACCATTGGGGGACCATCAGGGCCCCCCTGGCGCCCCTGGAGGCAGCTGGGCCGAAACGGGTGTGTTTAAGAAAAAATCTCGGAACAAAGCAAGCACCCAGCCGCGGCGAGGACAGGACCAGCACACAACGCCTAAAATCCTCGATCCTCCAACGCTAGAAGTGTGGGCCCCTTGGGGCTATACCTCATCGGAGGCGATGAGAATGGCGAATAGCCCAGGGGCTGGGCCTGACACGCACTCGCCTGGGAGCCTCGCCGAAGACATGGACAATCGGTGCCCCTGGACATGGATTGCCCTACATTCCCCGGGCTACTCGCCCCTATCGTCGCCTCGCCTCCCTCCAGACCCCTCCACTTTTCTGACCTCTCCTAGCACGGTGCTTCTGAGGCGAACCTGGCCGCTGCAGGAGGGCCCCAACATCGGCCACAAAAAAACAACGAAAAAAGAAATTGCACGCGCCCGGCAAGCTGTGGCACGGCTTCCAGGGGCGTGCAGCTCTGACCTCGCGCGACCTTGGAGCCCCCGGTCCAGCCCTACCCCTCCTCCTCGATTCCCCCTGGATCTCGGGGGCGCGCAAACATGGTTTCGCGATCCATGGATTTGGCGCGCGGTCACCAAATCCATGGATCGGGGGGAGGTGCCCTCCCCAAAAATGCGGCCAGCGCCGCCTCGTCCGGCGGCGGAAATCCGTGATTTGTGGTGGAAACGTGACCCGTCGCTAATCTACGCCCCCTTGATCCGTGTTCCCAGACCCCCGACGTAATGATTTTTTCATTACGTCGACCCCCAGAGGTCCCGACCCCTTCCCCAGGACCGGTTTGTCATCCTGAGTCGTTTTTTGACGCGCCCGAGGCCCGGTGAGGGCCCCCAGAGGCCGAAAATGGCGAAAACCCCCCCGTCGTGATTTTTTCATTACTCGAGGGGGTCTGGGTTTGCGATCGCCTGATTTACCAGTCCGCCCCCTCCTCCCCGATTCCCCCTGGAGCTCCTCCCTTGGAGGCCTCCCACATGGGTGCCGACCAGATGGCGTCGGAGAACGCCGCCGCATCGGCGATGCAACGGCCGCGCCGGCGATGCAACGGCGCCGTCGGCGTGGAGGAACATGGCCTCCACTGGGAGGCCCACAGGTTGGCACTATAGCACCAATATCGGCAGTGTGCCTCCATCGAGGGAAGATGCCCCCCTATCTCGGTGACAGTGGTAATAGTCGGGTTTCCTAAGTGGCCGAAAGATTGCCACCAGCACCGAAATCTAGGATCATCTTACCCCAGTGGAGGGGCCCCGTCGACGGCGGCACTCTCTGCGAGGCCCGGCCCCCTCGGCCTCCCCGCAAATCGGGCAGACCAGACTAGGCTTATGTCGGGCGTGTCCCCCCACAGGGGGATTTTCGATGAAAAATTATAATACCCCAAAATACCCCAAGAAGGTACAAAAATACTAACAAGATAGTCCCCAGATTATTTTTGGACTACTTTTTGATTATTTTTGGGGTATCTTTATCTTTCGTCCAATATCCCCCTGTAGGGGGACGCAACTGGATTCCGGACCAGGGCCAGACACCAGAACTTGACCTGCCGGGGAGTTTCCTCCGCAGCCTCCTCCTCCTCCTCCTCCTCCTCCTCCTTTTTTCCTCCTTGTCTCACTCCTCGTCCTCATCCTCCCTCCTCCTCCCCTCCTCAATCCTCCACCTCCCTCCCCCTTCCTCCTCCTCCTCATCCTTCCTCCTCATCCCTCCTCCTCCTCCTCCGCCTCTCCTACTCCTCTTCCACATCAGCCCTCCTCCCGTCTTCCCCCTCCTCCCCTTCCTCCTCCTCCCCCTCCCCCTCCTCCCCCCCCCCTCCCCCCCTCCTCCCGGAGCGGGCCCGGCGGCCCGCCTGCCCGAGAGGCTCGAGAGCGGCGACATCTGCAGCGGCGAGTCCGTCCCGGGCGAGCCCGCCGGCGAGCTCCCGAGGGGCGAGGCCTGGCGGCGCGGCGCGGCGGCGCGGCGCGGCGCGCCGCCCGGCGCGGCACGGCGACGACGACGACGACGGCGACGGCGACGACGGCGACGACGACGACGACGACGACGGCGACGGCGACGGCGCCGACGACGGCGACGGCGACGGCGACGGCGACGGCGTCGGCGACGGACGACGGCGCCGAACGACGGCGGGCGGCGGACGGCGGCCGGCGGACGGCGGCCACGCGCAGCGGCGAGCGCGGCGGACGCCGCGGCGGGCCTCCCGAGGCGGCGCCGGGGAGGGCGCGGGGCCGCGGGGACTCACTTTAGGTCGGGCGTGTCCTCCCCTGCAGGGGGATCTTGGACGTAAAGAATGATAAAAGTCGAAATAATAACAACAAATGCCTCAATAGAGTCACCAAAAAAATCGTTCCCTGACTATTTCTGAGCAATTTTCGACTACCCCTCCTGTAGAGGAACACGCTGGACTTCAGGCTAACTCTAGGAGGCCTCCCAGAGTGACTGCCTACCCAGACCACAGTATACAGTACGGTGAGGGCATGCTTCTCAATCACTTCGAGCGCGACCGCGTGCACGCATACATTCTACGCTGACGAAGCAGCGCTTGCACTGCGCCCGCGGCGCACCCAGGACCGCCCTAAAGGAGCGCGATTATCTCCGCGCACCACTCCGCCCCACGGGGCCGGGAACCAACGGATAAGGAATCCAGGGTCTCGGAGCCAGTGGAACTTCGATCGTGGGTCGGCCATGGATAGCACCGCCGCCCTCATTAGATAAGGAAGCCCCAGGGTCTGAAGCCTCCTGGGCACATTCCTGAACCAACGCCCCCACCGAAACAGAACATAGCAAAGTTAGCGAGAACATCAAGCAATTGCTTATGTGGAAACAAAGCGGAATATACTGCTTCTTCTCCCCGTGGTTCCTCTCCTTACCCCTCCCCCCCTCCTCCCCCTGCCCCTGCTCTTCCCCGTGCCTCCCCCTCTCTGCCTCCTTCTTCCCTGCCCCTCCTCTTCCCCGTGCCTCCCCCTCCTTCTTCCCTCGTGCTCCTCCCAGAGGCCACCCCAACCCAATCCGAAGACCCGAATTTCGCCCGAAATTCGGGTTGGGGGGTACAGGCTTCATGTGTTATTGTCCATGTTCCCCGACCCCCCCCCCCCGCACTGGATATAGATGGCAAATCGGAGCCTTCGGGTTGGGTTGGGGTGATTTGGTGGGCGGTGACCCGTGGGGTCCGAGCAGATGGAGTCGGAGGATCGCTCCCCATCGCCGATGCAGCGGCGATGCCTCCTGCCACATCCGCAGGGTAGTGCAAGCTCTGCACAGACACCGCCGAATCCGCACGCAATGTTATCTTCAAGTCTGTTCGTTTCGTGCTCGGAGCAAAAAAAGTACGATGGCCAATGGAACATCTCCATTGAACGTCACTGTTACATTCAGCGAAATAGGCCGTTGGGCGAAGCTGTAGCCGCGGGCCCATCGCATTCGTTTTCTGCTGATCTTCTTTTGGACATTGATTCCTATTATGATTATCTGGAGTTCGAAAGGTTTTCGACCAAGGCCTGCAGCGTGACTTTCTGCCGCAGGTTCTTCTCCTTGAGGGCTTAGCGCATCTGCTAGCCAGAGTTTCCCGCAAGCAAGGCAGCTTCTCTGAAGTGGTATATCCTGCCAAGTCCATCATCGCGGGAGCCCGACGAGAAATGACTTTGGTCGTTTCAACATCTATCCCATCCTACAACATGTATGCAACACTTTCTCACCTACCGTCAGCAAGCCGTCTTGGATGATGTCACTCAATGCGCGTATGGCTCGGTCATGTACCTTACCTTAGCTATGGTCAAGGCAGGCACTACATGTTGAAGATTATGTTATCGAGCGCACCTTTTGCTAGAAACAAAAAACACAATCATTTCCAGTGGCACGAAGCTTCCGAAGGAAGTAGTAAGCCATCTGTTACAGCATAACATTCGCGTCACAGTCTCTCGACAAGCCACTGATCTAGGAACCGATCGAGGTCGAGACATGAGAGTTCGCCCGATAGCAGCAAGCCGACGTAACGCAGAATGTCAACAAGCTTGTACATCAGCAGGTCTCGCAGGTATTGGTAGCGAAGTTCGAACAACTGCACGTCGCGTCTTCGGCGATGAACATGAATACGATGATTCCCTTTATGGAGTGCCGCCGTCATCTGCGCTGGCCTGGCGTAGAGCGTTTGCCTGCTCGATCTCACCTTCAGTAAGTGGCAGATGTTTGGACACTCTTCTTGAAGTCGGACTTGAAGACCAAGATCCTGCGATTTTGCAAGTGTGGCGCATGCTAGACAGTTGGCCCTCCATTCTCACATCGGGTTTCGCAGGCACGATCGCATGCGCAGCGCACTTGGCAAATGCATGTAGATAGGGCCTAGGGCAACATCTGCTCACCGTTGGCGACACACGACGGGGCCAACTGGAGCAATGGTCAACATCCTCCTGGACCTCCAGTGGGAACCCGCGGGGCCTTGGGATTGGACTTCGGATCAGGGCGACCAGCTCAGGGCTCCGGAGGATCTCCTGGCTTCAGGGGCATTCGACATGGCAGATCTGCAGCGCGAGCTAGGCTCAGGTCGGGCGTGTCCTGCTACAGGCGGGCTTTGGACGAACAATAAAGGCGACGAACAAGTGTTCAAAAATACTCAGGGACGATGTCCCCAGACTATTCCTGCACTATCTTTGAATACTCCTGGACTATCCTGGACTATTCCTGGACTATTCCTGGACTATTCCTGGACTATTCAAGAATACTCAGGGACGATGTCCCCAGACTATTCCTGGACTATTCCTGGACTATCTTTGACTACTCCTCCCGACGAGGGACATGCCCGACTTTCAAAAGCTGGGCAGCACGGGGCGCAGGCGCGCGCGGGCGCGCGCGCGGCACGGGGCAGGGCGGGCGGAGGCGTGCGGCACGGCGCGGAGCTGACGGACTGTCGCCAGCAGGCGGGCACGGGCGGCGGGCGACCAGCGAATAGGGCAAAGGACGTGCCGCAGGGGCAAGGATAGAAAGGGCACCCTAGATGAAGGCGCAGGCCCTTGCTGGGCGCGATGACTGTATGGGGGGCAGAGGCACGCGCGGGGGGCAGAGGCACGCGCCGATCGGCGAAGCAAGGAACCAGGAAAAGTGCTACAGGGTACAGTGGAGGCCCGTCCACAAGGAGCCTTCCACGAGAAGCCTTCCAGCCCGAGACCCCAGGACGTGCATGGATCCGTGGCGTGGGAACGTCGCGCTCTTCATCGCAGAACCCTCGAACCCAAGAAACCCCTGGGCACCCTGGAGGCAAGCAGGGTGTTTCTTGGCGTGGGCCCCCCACTGCACCCGCCGGTCGGAAGAAGTAGGCAGCAACACGAAGTAGGCAAGCGTTGGAAGCAGATTGGGCCTCCGCCCGCCCACTGAGGAGGGACGAGGGGAAGCCACTCGACCACTGAAGTGGGAAGGCGCTCAAAGCAGATTGGGGTCTGGGAATCCAAAAATACCTACTCTCAACGACCGATGGGTGCATGCAGCACGCGCGCATGACAAAGCACAGTGGGCTGGAGCTCTTGCCTGCGCGGCCACGGGAGGTCCGTGGCGCGGACGACGGATCCTGCACGGATGCCAGCCAAGCAGTTCTTCCGCGGCTTGTGCGGCTGGTGCCCAAACCCTGGAGGAGGCCATCTGGCGCCGTCTTCGAGCCACCTGAGGGCATCTTGGACTCCTCTACCTCCATTGCCTTCGTCGTCGCTGCCTACAGGGTCGGCGGCATCGGCCGTAAGGCCTTCGCAATAGTTCTTCCGCGGTTTTTAGGTGTTATCTCATCGCCTACGGCAATGCAGATTGAACAAAGAGCTGGCACCCGTCCAAGCAAATTAGCGTCTAGCTCACAGTGCACAGGTTCAGCATGAATCTCTGCCTCCCGTGCGGCTTCGGGGTATTACGACAGCCTCCTGGACACAAGTCTCCGCTCCACCTGTCGGGGACAATGACAAATGTTTGTTTCCATGGAACATTTCCGCAATCTTGTGGATGGATAGTTGGGGTTTGGGGCGCGCTGGGAGGCCCGCATCTTCGCCACGATTCCGCCGAGTTTCGTGGTCCTACATCGTATTCGATACGTTCGATTGAGTACCCCTGTGCCGAACCGAACTTTGGAGAAGCAACAGGGAGGAGGAGTTTGGGAACAACAGACCATTGTTCAAGTTGCTGGAATCCTCCCCGATTGGCAGCATATTGATTTTCGTCTCTGACAGCAGCTACGTTTCCAAAGGCTTCGCCAAGAAACGAACCGACGAATACCCCCCTGACTACAGGAACGAATGGAAGAGAGCCCGACAAGCTGAGAGGGCCCGTCAGGCTGTTTTGATCAGAATCGAACCCTGTATGCCTCCTGAGCTGGCTGCCTGGGGTGGTGAATTCGTCTTTTTGCCTCTGTGGGAAACCACTTGGCTGATAAGCTGGCAGAGCAGATTTCTAGCATAATTCAGCTCCCTTCAGGTGAAGTCGAAGCCGTCCAAATATCCGAGGCGCTGACACGCTCCGGTCGAAACCGAGCGGCCGCTGTTCTTGTTTCGTGTTTTTCTTTTCTGGAGGCTACTGAAGGCCAAGGCGAGAGCTCACCAGCCAAGGCGAGAGCTTACCAGAAGTCCGTGGCCAAAGCCAAGCCAAGCCAGCCTAAGATCAGCAGCAACCTACAGCCCCAAAAGGATGAATCCCAACTCGAGGTGACCCCGCTAGGCAGCATCTCCTACGGACGATCTCAGTGCTCAATGTGCCTCTCGCTTGTGGCAGTCATTTCGACGGCAGCCATCCACGGAGTTGTTGTCTGGCCCCTGTTCCGCTGCCGTCCCTGCCCTGGGTGCCCTGGGGACTTCAAACGGGTCCGAGGGCCCTTTCCCTGGGACTCAGAGAGCTCACCCGAGCCATGAGATGGCGGCCACGCCCGGGGGCGGCGTTTGCTTGTACAACGTGCGGGTCCCATGCGTCACGCA